CTGCTGTCCACTGGCTGCGGAAGGAGGGCTTTGACGGAAGGCTGCGCCAGAACCGCGTGCTGCGCGGAGGAATTGCTCGCGTCGTTCACAGATGATTGAAAGAGGGAGTCCAACCTCTCAGATTCAGTAATGAAGAAGAACTTGCAATGAGATACCAGGATTCAGAAATTAGTTTCCATAATTTTTTCTCCTGTTTACTTCTCAGGATAGATGATCAGAAGGAAATGTCCCCAGTGGACTGTGGTTTGTCCTTCCCATGTTGGTACCGTTGCAGCAACTGCCAGCTTGAAATAAGCTGGGTGCTTATTAAAAACTCACAGCTTATGTAAAGCAGATGTCTTTATATTCCTTTTATATTAAAGGATTGTTGATTGTCTGTAACCTTGACTCTTCCCAGTGTAGGTGTTCTTCTGAAACTAATAATTACATGAGTAATATACTTGTTTCTATAGCTTACTGACATTATTTTAATTAAAAAAAAAAATCTACCCAGTGTGTTTAATTTTAGAGGCCTTAGCTGTTAAGAACCTGACAATTAATTTTGTACTACTCCCCCATGTCTAGAAAACAAAGCATTTCAAAGTTTGTCTGTGGAGGCTGCCTAGATCAAGTTTATGATTATGGGTCAAATGGGCATTTTAGAAGGAAACTGGAACAATCATTTTTAAAAGGATTTGCAGGTAGAACACTTAAGAAGAGGAGTTGTCAGCTTTAATTATATTGTAGTTTTTGCTTTTATAGAACTAATACTGTGACTCTAAACCCCTGAATGACCGCAAATAATCCCGCTTTTGTTTGGGGGTTGTTATATTATTGTTTTTGACCTATCTTTTTTCTTTTCTATAGGACCATCCAGAACAAGGAGTGTTGTTTCTTGTGCGAGGATTACTAAATGTGATCCAGGATTACACTTGGGAGGATAACAACGATGACAAGGTCAGGATTTATACTCATGTTTTGCATCTGCTGTCTGCAATGACTCAAGAAGCATATATCTACCATGTAGATAAAGGTAATACATAAGGGTGGCTCTGGATCCTTGCGTTCCACCATGCGATTTGTAGTATTGTGTTATCACTGTACCTAGTTAATGAAGGTCAATGGTAGTAGTCAATCTTACAGAATGGATTATTTTCGTGTGTAGGTCCAGATATTGTAACTTAAAATAATCACAGGAGGTGGCTCCTGACCAGATGTACAGTCTGTTCTTTAAAGTGAATCTGTGCAGAGTGGTTTACTTAGTTTGTTCCTGGTAGTATTGATGCAAATACTTAGAACTGTGAACTTTTCAAGTAAATACTAGAACTGTAAACGTATGGAGGGTTTTCTTTTGATCTAAAGTATCAGCTTGATTTATAGTTATCGTTGGTGTTATATTCACATTTATTAACAACTCCAGTTTTCAGAATGTAATGCATAGTCTTCGTTATTTAAATAATGTATTTGCTGCTCTGAAAGCAGGCTTTCAGTTATGGAAATTGTGGTGTTAACTTACAAAAATCTTCAAAATAGCTGGAAAAAAATTCTAAAGATTTTACATTTTATAAAATGGTTGTAGTCTTTTTATAAGATTTTTATATGCTCTGAAATTCGAGTCTTTGCCTTCTGATCATAGAGAAAGTATTAATCGAGTCTTTTCAAACATGCTGGCAAGATTAGTTCGTCTGAGAGGCCAGGCTAGTTTGGCCTTCTCTTTCCGATGTGCAGGGCTTTTACAAAGAGGCAGGCTGGAATATATTCTGCAGTTCTTTGGGGAATAGTCTGTTGGTTACCAACCATGACAAAATATCTTTTGCAGTTAACAGCACAGAAAATAGTTGTCAGTTGAACAACTACTGTATAGTAAATCTGCTGTTTAAATTCTGTAAGGAAACATGGTTTAGCTGCTTTTTCTTTCATTCCATTTTTTTATATGACCAAAATAACTGCATCATCCCAAGATGAGAAATTTAAGTTAATTAGTTTTCAATGGAGAGAAGCATAGAAATATAAATTAGTAATTTTCCCCCTGTAGTTGGACGATGGTTGGGGGTTTTTTTTGCCCTTAGGTGGACCATGTACCTTAGCTTCTTAAAATGAAGTTTACTTGAGAACACAGGATTACCTTTTATCCTATGTGCTCTCTGATTTACCTGGAATACACTTAAACTTACAAATTTCTTGTAACTTCTTAGTAAAACATGATAAATAAATGAGGCTGAAACATGTTTAAACTCACATATAAACTCTAAAATCTTCAAGCGCTCTCTCCCTCCAAAAAATCCTTCAAGGCCTTTGAAATAGAAAATATATTTTTCTGAATTTCTCTCTGACTTTGAGGTAATCAAGGTTTTGTTTTAGGAAAAAAAAAAATTAAAATGCAGTTTCCTTTGAAAATCTCATTGTTTTCACATGAACTGTTTGGTGCTGTCCTGCTGCCATTGAAGATGATGGCCATACTCTTCCAAACTGATGAGAACAGGGAGTCTGTGGAAAAAATAAAAATTGACATTTTATGTTGCTTTGCATTTATGTCTAGCAGATATTTTGGAACCTGGCTGCATCCAGGAATACAGGACTAGCTTAAAGCTAGAAAATTCTTTTTAGTGTTTTGTTCCTAAAATCAAGAGGACATAGTAGGCAACCAAGCAGTAGGCACTTAAACAGGATTGTTCTGTTTGTGTTTCATGGAGGAGGGTCGTTGTATGACTTCCAAATCTGGTCTTCTATAAATAGCTGGTGTTATCAGTAGCAAACAAGTGCCTAGCTCTTTAGCCAGACCTAAGCTTGAATTCATCTCTGCAGTTGATTCCAATGATACCCTGTATGGTGGAGACTCCAAGTTCCTGGCCGAAATTAATAAACTATGTGAAACAGTGATAGCACAGATCCTGGATCATCTGAAAAGCCTTGGAAAAGAAGAGGTATGTTCTTATGCAGCTTGATGCAATACAAAACCAAAATTACTTTGGAGTTGAATAAATGGACTGCCTTCTTCACCAGGCATTGGTCTTTTAGAAAGCTCCAGCAACCTTACAAGAGTAAATCAGGTAATTTTACTTGTTTAAAAGGTGAGTCAATCATGTAGGCAGGCTCGTGGTGGAAAGACCTAATGATGTGAAAGAGATCATGTAGCAATTATAATATAGTTTTAAGATGCAGGCTAAAATTACCTCCTTAGCTGTGTGCTGTACATTGACGGTCTGGTAGAACCGACAAGCAGGAGAAGCTACTCTGGCATACTCAGTGGTATCGATCGTGGCGGTGCACCAAAGGATGCGATTCTGCCGCAGTACAGAATGGCAGTTGCAGACCAGCATAGCAAGGTTAGAGTTAGCTTTAAATCAACTAGCTTGAGTCCTGGTGTAGTCTGGTTATGGAAATACGATGCTTGGTGTGGGACAACTTTTTTTCTTAGGAGAGTCTTTCTGCCTGTAATAACCTCTGTGATGCTGGTATTGCAATTATTGGCCTAAGCTAGAGAATTGGAGGCAGTGCCACTGTCGCTCCTTTGATTGCAGTATAGTTACACCTAGAACCTGCTCCATGTCCGTCCCTCCTGTTGTTTCCTCCTGGCTGACAACTTTCTCTCTCTGCAAATAAACTGTTTTTTCCTGCCAGATAAGTTAACAGTAGCCTGAAGCGTCCAATTCTGCAATGGGCAAAGTGAGAATTCACAGCTAGTCTGTTACTGGGTAAAATACAATGGAAGGCACCTTTAACTGGTAGAAGTTTTGGATCCCACACACTAGGATGAAGTCAGGAGAGAAGTGCAGAGGGAGGTAAAAGGTGTTCTGGCTTTACCCTGTTTTTAGTACAGGGCTATGTTTGTTCAATATAAAAGAAAGAAAACTCTAGGCAGCTTATTGGATTTCTTGATTGGAGTTCAGAGGCTCTGAGGCTTAATGGATTGTGTGTGAAAGGCAGGTGACTAATGTTTTATTACTGAAATAATGAGAACTTACTGTTCTGCTAATGTACCTGTTTCTGAGCTTGGACCCCTCCACAGCTTTCTAATCACCCCTTACTTAAATGCTGTATATTGATAGAAGTGTTGTGGCTTATAGACTGAAATGGGAGGGCAGGGGATGATTAATTTGATGGAATTTTTTAGATAGCCTGTTTGCACAGTAGCCTGCAGTGTTTGCCAATACAGGATGTGTTAAGTGATACATGTTTGGAGGACACTATACTAAGTCTAGCCTTTTCTCTGCTTTTGCTATCCTGTTTATTCTTCCTTGAGCAATTGCAGAGATGTAAGATGAATAAAATCCTTTGCTCAAATGCCTCTACATCATTGTACGCATCACCACAGTGAATAGCAGTTCTTTTTTAGAAAACAACCATTCTTGTACAGCTAGGAATGTCGAAGTGGGTATTGGAAGGAGATTTCGAACAGTTTCCAGGACTGAGAGTTGTATATTGAGGATTTTTTACATCTGACTCCTATATGGAGCATGTTCCTATATGGGAACGTTTGTAGGGCTTGAAATCTGTGTTTTCTGAAAGGCTTGCGCTTTTTTCCCTGCTTTCAATACTTTGAGTAATGAGATCCTGTGTTGTTTCACTGAAGCAGTTATTATATAGAAAACTGGATTTAAAGCTAAGCAGCATGGATATAGGTCCTTTGCCTCTGTGGCCTGGGATTTACTGCTCTGTCCATCCTTATTTACAAAGGGGGAGCATTTATTTTGCTTTGTTGAGTAAAAGTCCTTGAGAGATTTAGATAAAAATTGTTTTGTAAGTATGAACAGTTTTTTGAGAAAGCTGTTGTTCCTGAGGAAATAAAGGCTATGAGAATGTTGTTGGAGACCTTCATTTGTGCTAAAGTAGAACTGATCATAAAATCACTGCGGTATTTGGATTGCTTCAGTGTTGGTGACCTTTTATTAATCATCTGCTTGACTGCTTATTTAAATGAAGAAGCCTCTGATGATACTGGGGTTTTATTGGTTCATTTCCTTTAAAAGCTATAAAGGAAAATAAATTTTTCTTACAATAAAATGCTTTCACCAAAATGGCAATTTGGAAGAGAACAATGCATCTTATGTTAACACAGCATGGTCTTTTTGCAATATTAGAGAATGCTGAGTTTATGTTACAGTGTTTGAATGGCAATTTTCAGTTCTGTACAGGTCTCTAAAGTTCAAGCTGTTTCTGGTCATGAGAGCATGTATCAGTGAATCCTCTCTGCCGTTGTGTGGGTGGAAGACTAATCTTATGCTCCAGGTTTCTTAGAAATGTAAATATCTTGCCTCTTGCTACTCAGTGATAAATGTCCAGATGGAGTATGTTGTATTCAAACACCACTTTTGATCCAAAACATTAGGAGCATGTTGTTGTGTCCTTGGCAGTGCTACCTTAGAATGGCAGTCTTGCTTGTGTACTATATGATAGATACTGGACTTTTTATAGTAAATATAAAAAATGGAGCAGTAGAAAGCAATTCCTGGGTATGCTCGTGAGGCTTCTGCTTTCAACACCACAGACTTTTATTTTATATAAACTCTTAAAACTTCATTTGGTTTCACATGTGTTTGAATACTGAACTACAGGCAGAGTTGGACATAGTTCTCATTTGTGTGGGTGTGTTTTAAGTTGAGAAGAGGTTGCTCATCCTGAAGGATTTTGTGTCGTTGGCCAGGATTTTCTAAAGGTGGTTAAACATTTCATTCCCTGTTGGGAGTAGCGAGGCAAGGGAATTTACCTGCTGCAGTTTCCAGAAGATGTTGCAGCTGGTGAAGGTGCCTGTTTTGGCATGCTTGCAGCTTACCTGCTGATGGCTCAGCAAAAGGATGGGTACGCTGCAATGAGGAGCTGTGGCTGGTAAGCGCATATTGACTCCGCTTCTTTGTCTCAGAGTTAGCAAGTCGTAACTCCCAGATTAATCCTTTTATTACACCATTGTCTCTGGCATGCTGGCGGAGTTTAAGGACTAGAAATAGTTTGATTTGGAATGTTGTTTCTGCATGTTTGTCAGATACTTGGTAAATGGTGGAAACCAAAATAAATAAATTGGGATTCTGCTGATGGCCTACAGCAGGATTACTGAGTATGGCTTTGGAAAGTATGGTCTAGTCTTCCATGAACCACAAGTTCCACATGGAGCACATCTTTGTTGGATGAATTTTAGAGGGAAATCAAACTGATGTGTGCAGCACTATGAATATTGAAAGCTTTAAAAATAGGTTAAGGACTCATTACAAGAAGGACTTAGAGTTGCTGGAGCGTGTCCAAAGAAGGGCAGTGAAGCTGGTGAGGGTCTGGAGAACAAGTCTTATGAGGAGCAGCTGAAGGAACTGGGGTTGTTCAGTCTGGAGAAGAGGAGGCTGAGGGGAGATCTCATCGCTCTCTACAACTACCTGAAAGGGGGTTGTAGTGAGGTGGGTGTTGGTCTCTTCTCCCAAATAACCAGCGATAGGACGAGAGGAGATGGCCTCAAGTTGCACCAGGGGAGGTTTAGACTAGGTATTAGGAGAAATTTCTTTACCGAGAGAGTGGTCAAGCATTGGAACAGGCTGCCCAGGGAGGTGGTGGAGTCACCATCACTGGAGGCGTTCAAAAAACATGTGGACGTGGCACTTTGGGACATGGTTTAGGGGGCATGGTAGTGTTGGGTTAATGGTTGTACTTGATGATCTTGAAGGTCTTTTCCAACCTTAATGATTCTGTGACTCTGAAATAAGAGATGAACCTACCATGGTGCCAGTATAGAGCTAGGAGTAAAATGTTTCAACCTGCCTTAACTAAAAGGTGTGTTACTGCACCCTAAAGCCAGCAGAAGCTGTCAGTGTGACTCTGAGTACTCTAGAGGAGGTTCTGGTTTGCTCTTTCAAGGATTGTATCTGAAAGAAAGCACTTTCTCTTCTGACCATCTCAGTGTGCTAGAGGAGTGGTGAAATAAGGCATATGTATCCTCTTGTGTGGTATGAGCTCCCAGCTCCACCTTAGTTCTTGGTGTTTTCTTTTCTCAAATCATTGTTTCCTTTTATTATAAATGAACTCGATTTAGCTGCCATTGGTGCTAGGTGCTTCATTTATTCCACGTTAGGACAGTTGTGTAATGAGAGAGTTGAGAACCTGGTCTGTCCCATGCAGCTCATGATCTTTTCCAGTGAACTAACAGGTGTTAAAATGTTCCCAAAAGGCTTCATGTGAGAGCTTTTAGGGGAAGGCAAAGCTGTCATGGCTTTCTTTAGGAATATCTAGATTTGGATCACAAGGATGTAACCACTAGCATCACAGTAGTGCTGTAAATAATTTTGGGCTAGATAGTTCACATAATACTAGCAAACAGATGCTGTATCAGCATGGAGACTCAGCCTAGACCGATTATATTTAGTACCTTGGAGGAGCCTTACAGCCCATGCTGAGCTCTGTGCTGCCGCGGATGGACTGTTAACAAGTATCTGAGCCGGTTATTTTAAAGCCCTGCATGGGAGCAGCAGCAAGCTAGATGCACCTTCAGAGAAGCAACCTATGTAAATGCACAAATGCTTTTCTGACAGAAGGCTTGAAGCACCCTTACGGCATAGGTGTCTGGCAAAAGTCACTGGACGGCAGGAATGAATGTTTGAATTGCTAGCCAGAGTTTTTGTGAAATGCAAAGGTACGTGGTCCATTGTGTGAAAGGTCCAATTTTTTTCTGTTACGCTATATGAAATTTGAACGTTGCTCTGCGCTTTTGTGGAAGGGTTAGGACACCAGGGGGTCACGTTCTGGGATGATGTAGCTTGTTCTTTGTTTCATTGTCATCAGCGTTATTCCAAAGATTATGGGACATGCGCTGCCTGGAAGGTTGGCAATCCTTTTTGGTGTGGGAATTGCTAGTCTCGTGATGTATGTGGTTGCCAAATAGTTGAGCTGTTGCTTTCTCCTTGCTGCCTGTGACTACATCCTGTGAGTTAGCGTGCCACCCACAATTCAAGCTCACTTAGCTTGATATAACATAGATGTTCCCCCCGGGTTGGAGGTCGGTGCCATGTTACACAAACATTCCTGTTCGTCACCATGTGAAGCATTGTGTGACTCTTCTTGTTCGTTGTCAGGGATGGTGGAATGTACTGCATACCCAAGCCTGCCTCTGTCTTCACTTTGCATTGTGTAACTGATGAATAGATGCCAAAATCCTGCCTGTTATACCTACCCCAAAACAATGAGAGTTAGTGTGCAGCTCATTCTTCTAGCTTCTTAACGTGTTTCTAGATCCTTTTTGAAGTATGTATGTTTTAAACTAGACAAAATGTCATCCTTATTTTAAAGAATGGATTTTGTATTTACATTGATATGCCTGGAAAACTTCACTAGTTGACACTCAGACTGGAGCACTGCTGCTTTTGCATTCTGCCCAATAATTAAACTGTCGCACTTCTTGTGAGGCAACTTCCAAGCAATTCCCAGGAACCTCTTTGAAGTTTGTATTCAGGAGAAGACAGACAGGCATTAGATGGTCAATGCGAAAAAAAAATTATAGGTAATAGAGGTTATTGTGTTAATCCAGGGTACATGGTGATGTGGCAGGATGCCTTGTGAATAATGTAGCAAAACATGGACTAGCTGGCTGTACCTTGTATCTGTTTTTCCCTGAAGGATGTTAGTCCTATAAGAGAGATACTACAGTAATATTTAAGCATAACTACTTTCCCTTTTATTGTCTTTTTGAGTTGTAAAAGTTAAAGTGCTCTTTAATACTACTGGACTAGATGGATCAATTGCATTTCTCAATGCTTCCAAATGGTGGTTGTAGCTTTAGCCTATAAACAGGTTTTGGAGCTCTTGGGATGGAAATTGCTGATGTAGATAACTGTTACAGGAAGAGCTGTTTTCTTTGTCATTTCATATAATGATTTAGTGCTTAGGGAACTTGTCCTGGAGCTTTGAGCAGCTCTATTAGCTGTATATTAGCTAAGTATATTAGCTACCCTAGCATGTATTGAACTGCGAGGGCTGAAGTATTAAGTTCATTAATTGAGGTGCCCAGCTGACAGTTCTAACTACTACTCTGCTGCTGTGGTTTCCGTGTAAGATGGAGCTAGGCTTTTATCAGTGGTCTTCCTTGAGCAAAAAACAAAGGACAGCTGCAGCAAAGAAGTATAAACAAATACTACATCTCAGATGCATCCAATAATAATTCATCCTTTTAGCTTTTTAAAACTTATTCTGTAGGAATAGGCATAATCTGCAATAGCGTTTTAATTACTTCTGTTTTCCACTCACAGGGTGCTAGCACCCTGATTTGGGGTAAGCTTAGCGCAGGATTGTCTGCGTCCCAGAACCCTTCCGTAGAGGCTAAGAGCATAGTGCTCCTCCATGGTAGATTACCGTGAAGCAGGCGTCCTCCTCAAGGTCCCTCCTCAGCAATTTTAGGGAAAGTAGCTGCAAATATGTTGGTATCACCAAAGTTTCAGTGAAAGAATAGCAGGGAAAAAACCACCTTTGGTTAAATAAATAGAAGTAGAATAGACTGCTGGAAAAAGCCGGAACGCATTAGTCTAGATTTATGATAGTGGTCTCTCCAAAAAATATACAGGCATGGTGGCATAAGTGCAAGGCTGGTTGGTGGGAATGTGATTTCTATGCAATTGTAGGGAGTCTTGTGTTAAAAATGTGTCAGAGCCCCATACTGTGCTATGCCAATGTGAGGGTTTTTTCTTTACAGCAGCTTAGGTTGATCCGTGACTATGACTATCACTACTTTTGCGTTCTGAATGAAACGTGGAAACTATGCCTGTATTCTTGCATCTAATTGTTGCTGTGTAATACAGAGCGAGTATCTGCCCCTTGCACTTCTGAGAGTTCAGAGAATCTGGCAAGGTTATGCTGGCTATTTTGAGATGACTACATGGTAATATAGGAATTTATTTTTTTTTCATTGTAGACCCTGAAGCGTCAGAGCCAGCTGGCACTCTATTTCTTTAACACTATTCTAGCTCATGGGGATCTACGAAACAACAAACTAAACCAGCTTTCAGTCAATCTCTGGAATCTTGCTCAGAAACATGGCTTTGCTGACACCAAGACTATGGTAAGGAAAAAAGATAATGCAGAGAAATTTTAGTTCTTAAGATTTTTTTCAACTCCTCCTTTGGGAAGAGGTAACATTTTCTTGATCTGAGTAACCCTAATCTCTTTACAAGTTGCTCTCTTAACAACAACAACAAAAAAATCTTAAAAACCCCAACTTTATTGCTTAAATGCTTTTTAATGAATAAGCAGCTACTGTTACTTCAAATGGTCTTTATCTTTCTAGCACTTCTAAATGTATTTTCCACATTAAGGAACCTGGAAATGTTGGGTGCTGTAACTTTTTCAGTACAGAAAACTATCTGTAAGAGAAATACAGCATTTTTATTTAGTGGAGGAACTGCATGGTTTAAGCTGGGGAAGTGGGCATTCTAGAGCCTTTAAGAAAGATACACATGATAATGAGCTCTGGAGTGAGAAAAGGAAGTGCTCCTGTAGCTAGTGAAATTCAGGGAAAATCTTGAGAGTGCCTATTAAAATAAACACCTTCACATAGATTAAATGATGGCCTATGAAATGAGAAAAGACGAAGACACTAAAAATCTCAAAATATCTTTCTTTTCATGCCCAGGTGAAAACGCTAGAATACATCAAGCGGCGAAGCAAACAACCTGAAATGAGCCACTTCGCAGACTTGGCCCTTCGGCTTCCTCTGCAGTCCAGGACCTGATGAACGCCTCTTTTCCAAGGAGTCACCTGTCCAAGAGCATGTAGGCGAGGCGAAAAATCACTGATCTAGATTCTGACTGGAGGAGTTCAGTGTATTTTTATTTTACTTAGTGTGACAGATTTACTTGGGACACAGGTAAAAGCAAAACTGTTCTGAGTGCAATAATTTAACCTGAATTTCTGTTTCCAGTTTTACCACTATATTCTTATTTTAAATGCCGATTTAGATTTAGTAAAGGGTATTCTGAACCTTTATGGTTGCAAAAGCCTTTCAAAATCTAATCTGTTGGCATTTTAGCAACACAGGAAGAAGATAATCTGCACGGATCAATTCATAGCCTCCAAACTTCATCCCACTTGCAGAACAGTCTTTTTTCCTGTGTAGAAAGCAGCATTTCAATATAATAATCCTACTAAGTTGTCTTTCTGCTTTGGGATGCTGCCAACATTTGTTTGGTCAGTTCCAGTAAAAGAGAAAAATGGCTGAGGTGTTACTGTTCTAATATCTACAATACATTTTCACAGACATGTTTATGCTTTCATTTTAGTTCAGTGGTATTTTGTAAAATGGAAGGAGTCTTTAAGTGTTGTCTGCAAAGGAAAATGGAAATGTATGCAAAGTACTCTATATTCGCAAAGTACACTGTAACTGAATAAAACAATTTGCAGTTCATCTCTTTGTTCTGGGCGAGTTTCTTTGCGTATACAAATTTATCACCTTACCCTTGTGGAATTTAGTTACATGTGCTGCTATTACACCTCATAAATTTCACTCTCACCACTTCTGTTCCACGGTGAGGAACCATGTCGAGACCTTGCATCTATTGCTGCTATTGGTTAGTGGTAAGTATTTTAATGAGCTAAATCTTTGTATGGATATTGAGACACATTTTTTGCACAAAAATGTTTTATTTTGTCAAGGCTAAACAAGTCATCAGTTTTGCTAGAACCATGTATTTAAGGAGTTAGCAAGCTGATAATAAATACCACCCAAATTATTAAACCATTCTTGTTGCATGTTTTTCATCTCCTCAGTCATTATTGAAGCTGGCTACATCTAAAATATGTATTTTGTGTTAAGGTTGTAAAGAACTGAACAAGGACCCTTTGGTCCTGGTACAGACTATACATGTAAGTTGAGTACAGCTGCAGGAATACAAAACAATTATGAAGTTGTATCAGCTTGATACAGAACCTTTCCAACCTTTAGTACATAGCTATTTTAATTATACTGACTTTCCTTAAATAATTCTGTGTAAAGTACACACAGATAATGAAATGATAGCACCACATATGTTACCGTGTCCCACTTTTAATCTAGCTTTCCTTCTCGCTGCAGCTGCACAAAACAGCTCTCAACAGCACGTAGATGATTCTTCCTGTTGGGCTTGGAAACATAAACCACGAACTGGTAAGTGGGATTAAACTCCAATCTCTCTAAACCACCAAGTGGGTCACACTCAGCAGCTGTAGTATGGCAGAAATTGCCCTCCGGGGGCAAATGTACTGCTCTAAACCCAGCGTGGCGTTGTTCCAGATTCTGTACAACAGAAACTCTTACCGCAGGCTTGCAAGTGTCCCAACTGCTTCTGTTCCCCATACAGGCACCAATTTTTGCCTGTTGTCTTTTGAGCACAGTATAACTTTGGTTTCTTTATTGATGTAAGACCACCATGAAAAATGCTTTCAAATGTTTTACTGCTGTTTTTATTAATGCAAAAATAGCTCAACGACAGGCAGAAAGCTCTGGTTAGTTATCAGGAGCAAACTCTAAACATATAGCTTAAAAGCTAACACAGCCACTCTAATAAACTGCTTTTGGCTTACTTCCACGTTAGAGCAAAATTAGTTTTAGTTAAAGCACTTTACATTATAGACCTCCTCTTTCTTCTGTAGATAGCAAATACACAGGCCAGACCAAGTTGCGCTGCTTAAAAAAAGCTGACAGTTTTTTTCCCCAGGAACGTGTCTTGTTTTTTGAACGATGACGTTTTCATGCCCTCAGTATTATAAACAGCAAGGTGCCAGGCCATCCACAAAGCTATAGTCAAGCGACACGCTGATAACACGTTATGCAATTCTAGATAGAAAAAAGAGTCCTTACCCAAAGGCACGGCTAGGACTAGTATCGCCTTCAGCATCTTCATCAGTGGCAGTGAAGACCACTTACTACCCACCCAAGACTGGCTCTGCAGTCACTGATGGGGACATGCTGTCCCTCTCCTCCTAAAGTCACTAACTGCCATTTTCCTACCTGTTCCTTTAACTCTTCTTTTTTTTGCCAGGCAAGTAGCTGAGGGCCTGAATTAAGCATTTGTCTTAAATCAGAAGAGAAAACAGAACCTCCACAACCTGAATTTAAGTAAAGCAACAGCTGAAGCCTAGAAGGGCTGACCGAAGCCAGTTGCTGAGCTTTGAGGGCACTGGTGCAAAACAGGCTCGCCTTAAGGTAGTGGTGGTTTTAAATGACACTTTAGAGGAGGTCGTTTCCTCAAAGACAAGTTCAGACCTGCAGGAAGTGGTTCATCATCGCCCTCTTCCCAGGTATGGGAATGGATTCATGGCAATCCCTGAAGCTGGAGCCTCTGCATAATTTTCTCTTCCCCTCAGGCGTTGCCCAAAACACACTGCTCTTTTGTTAAGTGTATTTTCTGCTGAAGGCAGCAGCTTTCAGGTGGAGTGGTCCACTGGAAGAGACTATTGTGGAAAGTGAGGTTACCTTAAAAAGAGCAAGAAATTTAGTAGTTCAGTTGGCATGGTCTTATCAAAAAGGGTGGGTAATTCAGCAGAAAAACAACGCGCTGGGTAAGTAGAGATAGTAACCTAGTCCTGGGGGGCTGGGGTTCCCCTGCAAGTTGGCCACTATTACACTACAGCAGGCATGGACATAAGAGATGGTCACCTTATTCTGCTTAAGAACCAGAGCCACACTAAAACTTAACAACACTGTCTCCCATAACAAATGTCACAGCCAGTAATAAAATACATGACAGTTTCTCACTATCTTCTTGTAACTTCATGCAAGACACTGATAGATTCCTTTGGGCCCCTGAATTCTGAACATGCAGTCTCGTATTTTGTACTCATTAAAAAGCCAGTGAAAGTGCAAGTTATCTGAAAATCCAAAGGTTAGAAATTTCATTCAGATTGTTGTATAATGAACCCAATACACACATTAAAATTACCTTGCTTTCTGTAATTTAGGAAGTCTAGATCCCTATATTTGCTATCCAGAAAGCATTTACCTTAATTTACAATAACAGCCACTGCTTGAAACTCCAACTGCCAGAGCATAGTTAAAATATAGAGGACGTTCAGTGCTATTCATTATTATAATGAAGATGCTAATATTTAAGAAACTACTTTTGGAGTTAAAAGTCTCCAAGTCTCCCCTTGTCAAATTTGTAGGCAGTACACCAGTACTGTTTCTTCAAAGTAAAATGTCATCACTTTGTACCACTCACTGAGTGTAAAAATGTAAAGATTCTACAGAACACTAAAATCTTTTGAATCACTAAAGTGGAGCAAAAAATTTTATGAAATTAGCATTTTAAAAAAATTTACAAAGTTTGGGCTTGTTGCAGGCACTGCTGACATAGCTTCAATCTTTAGAGGAGTCCGTCTCTTGCCTTGTAGAAAACATTGTAAAGGTTTCAAAAACTTAACTGTTTAGATGAAGGGAGGACCCAGCTCCACATAATCTGGCATATGCAGTTGAAAACTTGTACTAAAAGTGCCTCATAAATCAAATTTCTTAAACATTTTGTATTTTATTTCAAAAAGATGTGGAAAGTAAAAAGAAATTTGGCTGTTGAATTTTCATTCCTTTTATTACTTCAGAGTTTTAATCTTCAAATTTTATAGACCTAGATGAATATTTGTTTATGTATACTTTTTTGTTGGCAGCAGGTTGAAATCCAAGACCAATTCCTCTATGTTGCTTCAAATCCATTGCTTTATCAAATTCTATCTTCAGAGCCTGCTGTAACTTCTCCTCCCCTTCCCTGTTCAGAGCCATGTTTGGTTTGTTTGTAGTTGCTGGGAGATTTTGGATAGGCACAGAGCCCTTTTTAAAGCCACCCATTAGTCTAAAAAACTTCATTTTTTCCTCAGAACTTCGAAAAGCAGCTGTACTCCACTGGCCGAACTTTGTATCCTGTAAAGCAAAACAAGGTTAATGCTAAAATTAAATAATACCAAGACCAAGGAAGACAATTTCCGGCTGTGTACCATGAGAACAGAACTAGCTACAAAAACCTGACAGGGTTGTCAAATCTGGGAAGCAGTCATTCCATGGGTAGCACCTATCAAAGGATGTGATAAAAGAATGACATAGCCCTGCAAGAGTGCATCATCATTAGCATTTCAGTTCACTTAACCTGGAGACGGGGTTTAATGCGCTTTCAGAATCTCCTTTCCCTCTGTCTTTAGGAATCTTGACTTTTCTGCTCCCTGGATAATGCTGACCTAGCTCAAAGAGCCAGACATTGCCCAGTCATTTCTCTTACTCTATGACAGTTGTCAGGCTTAATCCTATTTCTCTTTCGCTTTGTCACATCATATGATTATCTTTTCATTCTCCTACTGCCTAGATAGGTAGCTGTTGTTTTCAGCAGTGTTTTGTTATGTTCGTTTTGCAGTGCTCAATCTGTCTTATATACTTGAAGTAATATTTGCATTCTCATCTCACTGATTACCACTAATATGGTAATTAAGGGTGCAAAAACTGAGGGCATACCCTTACCCAACAGACTAAATACAGTACCCTTAAAGCCTCCCCTCCCTTGCAGTTTGCCATTCCCTAACTCTGCCTTTCACTGTATTCTTTAAACTAGTTAACTCCAGGATTTTTCTTTTGTCTGCAGATACTGGCTTCTTTCTGAGAATACAGGCGATGTCCAAGTAAAATCAGAACTCAGCTGTTTGTGGATAACCCAAGATATATCATACGATTTATAAAGTTTATGGACTTCTGGCTTACCGAAGAACAGGCTTCATTATCTAAGGATCTGTCCCGGCTTCATCTGGGATAGAGTTAATTTCCTTCATAGAAGCTAGTATGAGGCTATGGTTTCGATCTGGGATGAAAACAGCAACAACTGAAAACATCAGTATGTTATCAACATTATTTTCATCCCAGTCCAAACCATAGCCTCATACTAGCTTCTATGAAGGAAATTAACTCTATCCCAGATGAAGCTGGGACAGGAT